GGGGGGGCGGATGGGGGGGGGGGGGGGGGGGTGTTGAGTACAGGAGTTGTCAAACTGTTTCAATGGTTATGCTAGGACTGGTCATTGCTCCCACGTGCACCCGATGATGTCTCTAATATCTGGTTTACAGTCTGAAACATTTTATCGATTGTGCCCCCCCCCCCCGCTGATATTTTAAAATCATGTCTGTGGTCAATGGGTTAACACTTGATAGTGGGATGGACAGATATGTGGTCAATGGGTCAACACTTGATAGAGGGATGGACAGATGTGTGGTCAATGGGTTAACACTTGATAGAGGGATAGACAGATGTGTGGTCAATTGGTTAACACTTGATAGAGGGATGGACAGATGTGTGGTCAATGGGTTAACTTTTGATAGTGGAATGGACAGATGTGTGGTCAATGGGTTAACACTTGATAGTGGGATGAACAGATATGTGGTCAATGGGTTAACACTTGATAGTGGGATGGACAGATGTGTGGTCAATGGATTAACACTGATAGAGGGATGGACAGATGTGTGGTCAATGTGTTTACACTTGATAGAGTAATGGACAGATGTGTGGTCAATGGGTTAACACTTGATAGTGGGATGGACAGATGTGTGGTCAATGGGTTAACACTTGATAGAGGGATGGACAGATGTGTGGTCAATGGGTTAACACTTGATAGTGGGATGTACAGATGTGTGGTCAATGGGTTAACACTTGATAGTGGGAGGGACAGATATGTGGTCAACAGGGTAACGTCTTCTAGTGAGATGGACAGATATGTGTCAACAGGGTAACGTCTACTAGTGAGATAGGCAGATATGTGGTCAACAGGGTAACGTCTTCTAGTGAGATGGACAGATATGTGGTCAACAGGGTAACGCCTACCATTGAGACAGGCAGATATGCGGTCAACAAGGTAACGTCTTCTAGTGAGATGGATAGATATGTGGTCAACAGGGTCACGTCGTGTAGTGACGAGGACAGATATGTGGTCAACAGGGTCACGTCTTCTAGTGACGAGGACAGATATGTGGTCAACAGGGTAACGTCTACTAGTGAGATGGACAGATATGTGGTCAACAGGGTAACGTCTACTAGTGAGATGGACAGATATGTGGTCAACAGGGTAACGTCTACTAGTGAGATGGACAGATATGTGGTCAACAGGGTAACGCCTACTAGTGAGATGGACAGATATGCGGTCAACAAGGTAACGTCTTCTAGTGAGATGGATAGATATGTGGTCAACAGGGTAACGTCTACTAGTGAGATGGAGAGATATTCGGTCAGCAGGCTAACGCATTATACATGCAATAATAATTTGTCGTTTTCTGTTAAGCAGATCTTTCCTTTCTTTCCCATCTCGTCCGAGAATTCAATAGATTCGGTAATAACATTTTTTTTGTATGAAGTCTTACTGAATTATTTAATTTCACAACATGCCTTTACGCTTCCCTCCTCTCCAATTATAGTTCATTGACAGGCTAAGTATAAGGCTGTATTAAAAACGTACACATGGGTATACCCTTATCGCTGGCATGAAATAGTTTTTAAAGAGAATCTTACAGACATAGAATGTGTTTGGTTTTTTTTGCTACACATTCATTTTAACTTTCTGGTGGTGATAAGGAAGTGTAATGTGCTACTTTAACTTGACTAACTTGCCAATACATGCTTAGGTTTAACTTGACTAACTTGCCAATACATGCTTAGGTTTAACTTGACTAACTTGCCAACCAGATGTGTGGAGTAGCCTCGTTGTTTAAGCCGTTCGGACAGAAGTGTGTACTTGAGTGGTATGTACATGGCCTGGGCAGGATGGATGGATTGCTGGGGGGGGGGATGATGAACCAGAACATGTAATATAATAAAATGCATATCTTTTCTGCTGGAAATGAAATTGGTAATGTGGTAATAAGTAATGTGGTAATTGGTAGTGTTATAATGTGGTTTTGGTAATGTGGAAATTGGTAATATTGTAATAGGTATGAGTAATATGTTAATTGTTAATGTGGTAATTGGTAATGTGATAATTCATTATGTGCTAATTGGTAATGGGGTAATTGGTAATGGGGTGATTCATAATACTTTGCCAAGTATATGTAATAAAACACTAAATTGCTCAAATTTGAAATGGGACAAAGGGAAAAGAGTTAATACACATGTCACTGACACACAGATTGACCAAGTTCGAAGTTTTGAGATAACGAGGATAGTTTATAAACAATGCTGTATTAGACGAGTCGGAATAAAATTTAACTACCGCCCAAAAAAATAGAAATAACTACCAAAAAAATCTAACTTAATACCTAAAAAAGAAAAGGGTAGCAAAAACCCACAAAACTTAACTAAATGCCCATAAACTTTAACAATATACCCCATAAAACAAACGTAATACCCCAATGATTCAGATAAATACCAACAAAAATCAATTAAATACCCAGAAAAATTAACTAAATACCCACAAAAATTTAACTTAATACCAAGAAAAATTATGTAAATTTCCAAAAAATAATCGATGTAACCACATATAGCCACCCAATACCCACTAAATCAATCAAATACTCACAAATTAACCATATACACCCCCCACACATACACAAAAAACCTCCCAAGAACAACTAAAGATCTACTAATGACCTACACTATAGACCTAAGTTATTTTTCTTTTTAAAAAATTGCATTAAATAAATTTCATCTCAATAAAAAAATGCATTAAATACATTTCATCTCAATAAAAAAATGCACTTACGCACATAAGCATATGTTTACAGACAAAAGTTTAAAGACATAAGAGAAAGTACCTGAAGTTGCGTGTGAATTGGAAACATTCCTGTCATGTAACTGTTTCTGGAGCTGAAATTCAATTTGAGATTTCGACACGAACAAACTAGTAGCCTAAAAAAGAATTAATTAAACCAGCCCCTAAAGAAAAAAAAAAAATTTCGTGTAATTTTTTTAATAAAATGTAATATTGAGCAATGGGGGGTTTGGGGGGAGGGGCGCTGAAAATTTGAGAAAGCGTGCATACCAATAACGCACTTTTTACGAATTTAAATTAGTTCTCCCCCCCCCCCCCCCCCCCCCCCCCCCCCCCTAAATAAAATGTAAAATTGGCGCAGGGGGGGTTTTGGGGGGAGGGGCGCTGAAAATTTGAGAAAGCGTGCATACCAATAACGCACTTTTTACGAATTTAAATTAGTTCTCCCCCCCTCCCCCCCCCCCCTAGGCTAACAACCGTACATTTTTGTCAGGCCCCCATGAACCATATTAATATTCTAGGTACCCCTCCGCGTTTACACCGTAGATTTATTTCCCCAACTCTTTCAGAAAACGAAAAGAAAATATAACGCAAAAAAAAAGGCACTTGCGATACTTGTATTATTTAATAGTTTATTTCTTTTATTTTATAAGAACGCAATTATCGGTAATGTTATTTTCTGAAATCGGTGTCATCATATTTCTTTATCTAACCCCTGAAAAAAACAGGAAAAACGTATTGTTCGGACTCGAGTGTGGGGCTGAAAATCTGAAAGAATGTGTTTTCATCCGGTAATGAGTCTATGTGACAGGTTTCCGCTCGATATGTTGACGGAAAGTGGGTCAGCTAGCCGTCCGAAGATGAACAAAGCGAAGTTAATATAAATGGCTTTAAAATATGTTTTGTAAAATATTGATATAACTAAAATTCCTTTCAGCTAATTTAACTGAATCGCTCTGGTACTATATGGCACACATTCGGCCCACCATCACCCACTCTGCGGCCCGCAAAGTAAAGAAACATTCTTTATTATTATCATTTTCTTAACAGCTTTCCAATCCCCACTGTCCTAGTTTCTTTCGGCCGCACCCGTTTTTCATAAAGTATACGACCCTCCTTACATTTTGAGTTGTGCAGCCCTGCTGTATATTATTGAATGTAACTATTTAAATCTCCACACGTTGATGTTAATGAAACAGTTTATCTAAAGCTGTGGTCATTAAAATATGTATGGCATTTCAAGTGTGGAGCACGTGGCCAAATAATCATGCCAGATTTTAGTTTAAGTCAAATGAGCATTGTGGTGCATGTGGAGGTATCCACAAAGCATTATAGACCACGGGTCGCTCCGTTGATTTCACACCTCAAAACTGTTCGAAATCATGGGTTCCAAATAACCCATAAATGATCAGAATCCCTGATTAAGACCCATGATTATAACTTTTGATTAAACACCTTGATTAGAGCCCCTCGTGATGACCCCTTATAAAAAACCCTGATGATGACCCCCCTGATTAGAACCCCCTAATGAGGGCCACTTGTTGGGACCCCCGATGATGATCTGAATAGAACCCCCGATGACGACCTTGCCCGATCCCCTGGTGATGGCCCCCTTATTAGACCCCCTACATTTAAAACAAAACCCTTAAGCATATGATAACAATTTACGGTGTACACGTGGGTGAGGCATAGGTGGAATCCATGATGAGTCCTCTGTTGGCCAGCCAGTTGAGGTTAGGGGTCAGCACTTCCGGGTTGTGCCAACCCACGTCATTCCATCCTGTTTAGGAGAAAGACATTGTGTCATTGATTGGCATTCGTTTACAAAGAAATTTCAAAACGACTTTGTCAGAACATCTGAATTGTGATAATTTTGGAAATCTGCATTAGAAGATATATTATACCAGGGTCCTTAACCGTCTATGGAAAAAAAAGATGTGCTCGTAAAAGTCCGAAAGAATTTTTGGATGTCCGCAGTGTCCTTAAGGCTTTACCAGATTTTTTTCTGCCTTTTCATGTCGGCGTCCCAGTTTCCACCAAGGATTTTTGTCTGCTCGGAAGCGAACACACCTAAAGCCTTGGTGTTGTCTGCCCATTGTCCGTATCAATTCGTTCTAAGGAGGTCAGCCCAGCCAGTTCTTGACGATGGCTACGACTGATTCTGGATGTGGCTTGCAAAGGATTGAACGGGTACGCTGTAGTCCATCACCGGACTTGCTCTACCCCCCTGGAGTAGATGCCTGGGTGTTTCTCCTCCGGCGCCCCAGTTCGTGCACGCGAGTGTCCCCCCCCCCCTCCAGGATGAGCTTGGCGGTCGCCTGGTGAATTCAAGTCTTCTACGAGATAATGTATTTTGATTCAACTTGACTCCTAGATAAACAGGCTGCTTGTCTCGTCTGAAAGTTACAGCGTTCACCCTGGGTAGGATCTCCTGATTGAGAATGGTCCGACCCTTTTGTGAATAGTGCATAGACCGTCACCTAGGTGTAAATCTCCAGTGGCCAACGCTGCGATTTTCCCTTCTTACCAGTACTCCAGATTACCAAATCGTCCACTTACAGGCATGCAATTTTTTTTGTTTTGCTAACAAAGTGGGCGATTCATTGATATAGTCATGGAAAAATGTGGAACTAAGGGCTGTGGGCTGACCTCTGACTCCCATGATAGTCATTGCTACGAAGTTCTCTTCGTCGAGGCTTCACTGCCGATCGTTCAGATTGTGAGACAACCGTGTGATCCCCATGGGACTTATCTAGCGAGATGGCGCAGTAACAGACTTACTTCATACCTGAACACTGTATTCCAAGATTTACGACGCAGTAAGATTTCAGCGGAGAGAAATTTATCAGCACACACAAACTTTGATTCCAAAAAAAATGCAACCAAAATATTCCTTCTCATTGCTATTCACTTTCGTTCCAAGTGATAATTATCATTATTTATGGTTAAGTATTTTTATTTTATTTTTTTTGGTTATAAATCTATACTTTGCATGGGTCATATAATTATTTTAAATATTGCACACCGAGAATTGTAATCCTAAGTGAAGTATCAAATATAAAACAAACAACAACAACAACAACAACAAAATGTTCATTAATAAAACTAGGCAGGTTATTTTCAAATAAGAAGTAGTATTTTCACCAACAAAGTAAAATTATTTATACAACGTTGCTATAAATATGCATTGCTTGTACGCTCTGGTAGACCAATCATTATGAATTTATGTCTAATAACAACTAAATAGCAAAAAAGACACTACGGCCCTTTCCTTATAAAGTAAGTACCTACCCAGGTCGTCACTGACGATGAAGATGATATGAGGTGGTTGTTTACCCAGAGATTCATCAAGTTGGAGAAACAACAACAGCCAGCTTATCAAGAACTTCATGGCGTCGGACGGACAACTACATAGCATGGCACGTGGCGGCTCGACACGCTGGAGGCGCTAACCAGTGGCTGGACACGCCCGAGGCGCTAAGCAGTGGCTGGACACGCCCGAGACTAAGCAGTGACTGGACACGCCCAAGGCGCAAAGGGGCTGGACACGCCCAAGACTAAGCAGTGGCTAGACACGCCCAAGGCGCTTAGCAGTGGCTGGACACGCCCAAGACACTAAGCAGTGGCTAGACACGCCCAAGACACTAAGCAGTGGCTAGACACGCCCGAGACACTAAGCAGTGGCTAGACACACCCAAGACACTACGCACAGCAGGTTATGAATTCCGCCCGTTTACATCATACAATGAATGAAACTATCACAAACACAATATCTGTCACGGACTAAGGTGACAGGGAATCAGCTATCACAAACACATCCACCATCGAAAGCGGGCCAAAACAATCAATGTTATCATCAAACGAGCATGTCGAAGCCTAATTTGTTTTCACGAACAGTTCATGCCCTCATATCTGATCCAGTTTCCAGCCAATAGTAAGTTATCACTGCAATCAAACCTTATTTGCCATCATTGTCAGCTTTTCAATCCATGAAATCGGCTACTCTACCATAATTTATCAAAACGAATGTTTCCGACTCCAAGTCCTTGACTTAGATCCGGTACGCTTTCAGAGGGACTAAATAACCACATATACAAATAATAAAATAAAGTGTGTTACATCTGCATTGACCCTAAAACTCTTTGTGACGTAACGTGCGGCTCCGAACACGGACTCAAGTTCGACTCCAGGTACGCGGCTCTGAGTGTAAAGGTATTAGACAAAAATCTACAATGTGCACTGTTTGCTTTTGTGGCTAATCTGTGTTAGCGGTCCTTAATTTCTGAATACGTGGCTGAACCTTAATATTACAGCTTCTAGAATGATCCTCTTACGGTGTCAAGTGGCAAAAGAGCTGGATATGTTTTTCGATTAAGGATTATGTGTGACGGAAACATGTACGAGCTGTTGGATGAGCTGTTTCCTGTTTGCCGTATTGCTATTCGTGACGGGTCAGAAGTTTAAAAAGTGAGAGGGCATTTTATCCATTGCCATTTTAGCGAACATCAGCAAGGGCGTATCTTGTGGTGGCCCTACCTTTTTTGTTTTGTTTGACAATGCCCTTCGTTTTGACAGTCCAAATTCACACTGAAGGCATTGCGTCGGTGTCGTGCTACGCGCTAGCAAGTTTTCTGGTCGCTGCTCGCCAGTTTGAGACCCGGCACTCGGATTGGAAAGTGAAACATTCCTATCGGCTTAGCCAACGCCGGATCCACGTACCGTATGGTCTGGATAATCGCACGCGTAGATATCTCCACAGTGCCTGCTACAATTAAAACTGACATGAACGGTCGAGCCGCCCCCCACTTAACTAACAAGCGCTTGTCTCTAAACTTTCCTCTTGTTAGTGCAATAAATTACGGAAGGTAAATGTGTTTGAGAGGGTAGTTATTTGGATTAGAAATGATGGGACCAGCACCCAGTTAATGGAGTTTTGTTGAAGTTTAGTGAGAAGTTCGTGTGAATTTTTTGTTGTATAAGTTTGTGTTAAACTTGTGTAAGGTTTTGAATGGGCACTTTATATCGTCCCCAGGAATGGGAAGTTCAATGATATTTCTTTTATGGCGTTGCATATCTCGTTTTTAAAACTCTCCTCCAATCACCGCTTTGATTAGTTCTATAGCCGGGGGGCTTCCTGTACATGGGTGTGTCATTAAGTGCATTGACATTATCGGTCGGGTGATAAGGCAGCCAAGATTGGCCCAATTACTCTCATATACACGATAACAAACGAAGATCAGGTGGATAGAGGCATGCTGACATTCGGTCGTTTCAATCAGTACTGAGGGTTCAGCGAGTTGGTCTGACTAAGTGTAAAACTCTGTTGATACGTTACTGATGTTAGGAACATAATCGTGGGGGAGTCTAATCCGAACAAAATAATCGAAGATTTAATCAGTCTTCCTTAAAAAGCTAAAAAAAACACCAAAAAAACACTCTTACCCCCCCCCCCCACATTTTTTTTTTTTTTGTATTCTTTGAAAATTATTATTTAATGCTGATTGTGTATACTTTATTTAAATTGATTTGAATTGCTTGAAAACTAGCGTTTTAATTGATTGTAGCCGTGTTCAACCAGCTACAGCCCGGTCAAACAATGGCTACCGACATTTCGTGGACTTGCGATCTGTTAAAAGCAACCTTTACGCAGAACAGACTCAAGTGTCTACTATAATCTGACTAGTGTACATTAGTTAGCAGATTTTGATTCTGCCCTTGGACCTTGGAGTTATAAAAATAAATTATTTTTTTTTTAACCGACAAGAGTTCACCATTCAAAGTGTTACTTATTATTGCTCCCATTTTCAATACAAACAATTTCATTTATATGAACCTATATTTTTGTAGAATATTGTTCCGGTTATGTTCACATTTAAATATGAAATATGAGAATTCGTCGGCTATTTTGAATATTGATGAGCTCATCTTGAGTACCGCAGATTTGTTATGTGACGTCTGTTTGGATAATGTTTTGACGATCACAGATATGTTTGGTTTGTTATGGTTATCTTCAGTAATTCCTTAAATAACTTCCAATAACTTATCTTTTTAACATCTATCGCCATTCTCGGTCCCGTTTTTATTTTAGTGAATTTTATCTAGTCCTATATGTCTCAACTAGCAGAGTTATCCCAAAAAAAAATTCACGAACAAAATAATGATTTTTTAAAACTTTCTTCAGAATCGACCTACAACCATAAATTTGGTATCGATGAATTCAATTTTTTCAGGCCCTATCTAACCAACTACAGTAGTTCATCAAGCTATAAATTCATTTTGAAAATTGTACCCAAGTATCTACTGCTTGCCATAAATGAGTATCGATGAATTCAATTTTTTCAGGCCCTATCTAACCAACTACAGTAGTTCATCAAGCTATAAATTCATTTTGAAAATTGTACCCAAGTATCTACTGCTTGCCATAAATGATATATTATATTAAAGGGTTTGCTGTAAGCTTTTAAAAAAAAAAAACATACATTTCATCTTTCTTTCGTTTATAGACATAGAGTTTTGATTTGTGTGTTGAATTTTTGGAGCCCTTTAACTAGATATAATCTGTATATTTTACACCAACAACTTGTGAGCTACTTTTACAAAGGTAGTGGGGGATTGGATGAGTGGGGGAGTGGATGAGTGGGGGAGTGGATGAGTGGGGGAATGGATGAGTGGGGGAGTGGATGAGTGGGGGAATGGATGAGTGGGGGAGTGGATGAGTGGGGGAGAGGTGAGGTCGTGTTGAGTCGGCTGTGGTCGTTTAGAGTTGTTCTTAACAGTACATTTGGGGAAACATTACTTTTAAACTTAAGGTCGTTTAGAGTGGTCCTTAACAGTACATTTGGGGAAACATTACTTTTAAACTTNAAAAAAAAAAATATGAAAAAAAAAATATATATAATATATATATATATATTCCAGTAAATCATACTTAAACATTTATTTGACCATTAGACAAACAAGGGGAGTTAACAGTTAAAAATTTAGCTACTTTTGGAGACATCAATTTTAATATGGATTAGTCTCCCTTAAGCTACACAAAGTTGGTTGTTTTTTTAATTAAATAATTTTTATTTTTTTTCAAATCTACCTTACACCAAGCAGACCAACTTTAATGTTGTTTTTTTTCTTTTCCTACGGACGGGCTTTGGTTTTCTACCAATGAACCAAGTAAAGCATTTGTTCTTTAAAGACAATGGAACAGATTACAATGTTCAAAATAAGGCGATTATTTTTAAAATATATTAGCCAGTGTCAAGTTCTTAAAAAGGCACATCTCTTTATCCGTTTATGAGATATTTTGGTATTTCATTCTTTTTTTTTTTTGTTTTATTGTTCCTCCCACGCATGCGTGGTCTTGATCTGCGCTGTATTTGCTTTTCGATTTGGGAGAGTTGCGCTATTCGTCAGCGTCAATCTCTCGCCCTTTCCTATTTTGATACAAAATCAAAGCTTTGGACGACTTGGAGACTGGCAAGATTGCTGTGGATGAACAGGCGACTAGGAGATTGGCAATAATGCTGTGGATGAACAGGCGACTAGGAGATTGGCAATAATGCTGTGGATGATCAGGCGACTTGGGAGACTGGCAAGATTGCTGTTGATGACCAGGCGACTGGAAGACTGGCAAGAAGGCTGTGGATGACCAGGCGACTGGGGAGACTGGCAAGATGGCTGTTGATGACCAGGCGACTGGAAGACCGGCAAGAATGCTGTGGATAACCAGGTGACTGGAAGATTGGCAAGATTTCTGTGGATGACCAATCGAATTGGGAGACTGGCAAGAATGCTGTGGATGACCAGGTAACTTGGGAGACTGGCAAGAATGCTGTGGATGATCAGGCGACTTGGGAGACTGGCAAGATTGCTGTGGATGACCAGGCAACTTGGGAGACTGGCAAGATTTCTGTCGATGACCAGGCGACTCGGGAGACTGGCAAGAATGCTGTGGATGACCAACAATCTTTGTTGAGTGTCAATGTGCTCTTTATGCGTTCCAATTAGCAGGAGTTGAATTCAGAGTTTGTCTTCCCTTAGATGGGTTGTCTTCCCTTAGATGGGTTGCCGTCCAATGTTAACTAACTCCGTCAAACCGTGGTTGCTGATGTTTGTATTTTTACTTGTCTAGTTGTTGTTGTTTTTTTTTCCATTTGATATAATAATAATAATAATAATTTAATAATAATAATTATAATAATTAGAGGTCTTATATCACGCGGTTTATATATTTTTT